CATCACCCCTATTAGAGCCGCGGGCATACTTGAGTGCAGTTCAGAAAGATGGTGAGGCAGTCATATGTAGTTAACGAGATTATCGTGGGGGGAACCCCTGCAAAAAAAAGCCCGGAAAAGCCCGGAGAGCCAGGAAAAGCCCGGAGCTCTTGGCTTTCTTGGCTTTTCCATGCTTTTTTACCTCTAAGAGGCCTAGAAAAGGCTGGAAAAGCAAGGAAATTCTTGGCTTTCTTGGAAAGCCTGGAGTGGTATTCCAATAAAAGCCTGGAGAGCCAGGAGGTAGCTCTTGGCTTCCAAGGAAAGCCTGGAATTTGACCACAGTAGGAAGAGCAAGAAAAGCCAAGAAAGCCGGGAATTTTACCCTGGAATTCCGGGGAATTCCTGGCTCCTTTTTGCAGGGGAAGAAAAAGGAACAAGGTAGCCTGCATAACAAGCATTTCTGCACCTGTTTGGCGAGGAAGTTGGGATGAGAGCAAACAGGGGAAAGTAAGGGGAGGGTCTTCTCCCCTTCCCCTTCCCTCCATTTCTGTCTCTTGCTCCAACTTTCACACTTAACTTAATTGGAAAAGCTTGCTGTGATGGCTAGGATCAAGGTAAACCAGCCAGCAAGTCTGGATCCCTGTTAATTAAGAGGGGTTTTGGTTCAAAAGTTATACCCTCTTCCGGAAATAAGTATGTTAAATTTAAGTACCCCATTCTTAATAATAATAATTCATTTGTTTAGCCGGTAATATTGCAAGACAGCTCTCAGGGAAACAGTTTTATTGTTCGAAGTCAAATGAGATTATTTGCTGTTGGGGGAAAATTCCATTACAGCTGTGTATATATTCATGTCTTCCAAAAAATTTTGTTATATCCCATTCAAGCAAACATCTTGAATATGAAATTACCCCATTCTTTTGAATAAACTGTGCAAATTCCTGATCTCGATGAGCATTAATTATATATTGTGGCCTATAGTTATGCAGTTGTAACCTCCCTTTTAATTTTTTCTTACATGTTTGTTCATAACAGGATCAATTTATGCTCTTGGAGGCTATAACTCTTCCTGGTTAAACTCTGCTGAAAGGTTTGATCCACGTGAAGGAAGATGGTACAGAATTCGACCCATGTTATCTCCCAGGAGCAGCTATGGTTTAAGTGTCATGGGCAGTTGTCTGTATGTTGTCGGAGGGTTCAATGGCTTGAGAAATCTAAATTCAGCTGAAAGCTATGACACCAGGGCCGGGAAGTGGATAACAGCTCCTCCGTTACAGAACACTAGGTATGGGTTGGCTCTTGCAAGACTGGTTACATGACTGCACATTTAAAACATATTAACCTCAAGTCCGACTGTATATATGCTCAAGGCACCAATTAAATTTGATTTTGCATTGTGTCATTTGCCAACCATGACTGAATGCTTACAACTGCAAGGAAAGCTCAAAATTATGGCACATTTTTGAGGCCTGCAACAACAAGCAGCATGGGGATATTATGTCAACAAAAATGTGATGAAATTTCCTATGCTTCAGAGAAAACCCTGGCAAAACTGTAAGATTTGAAATTATTAGATGAGGGTTACCTAATACTGTTGACTCCTCAAAGTTTTTGACATGTTTGAATTTACTGACATGTTGTCTTCAGCTTTCTTGGAATAACTTATATACTGCTGTGAGCTCTGTATAATACATAACAAACAATTTTTTTGGAAGCTTGGCATGTGCAAATTTAGAGGTCAGATTAGAAATGAAACTAACCTGCGATCAGGTGTTTTGTTTTGTTTTGTTTTTTTTTGAGTCAGTAGACAGAGAAGGGGGAAAGTCCTTTTCCCCTCGCCTCCAAACGCTAGCACCGAAGGTGCACACTGCTAGGATTAAAATCTTGATGCTCTAGTTTTTTGTCTGCTAGAAGACAATTTCTGTTGAAAATGTTCACTAAAATCTATTGTCATGTTTATGAATATTTTCAAAAGTAATTAATTACCATGTTACAACTACTCAATTTTACTTTATATTTCATGCAGTATTTTTTTTTAGTGCAGTTTTCTGGTTATTACTTTCAGTTAAGTATATACTCTGTTAGATGTTCTGTATTTATAGTCACAAGAATTCATTTAAAAATATCAGAAGAGATGTCAAAATTTTTCCTAGCACAATTGCATATTGGTCAGGATTGGTGATTTTCAACCTGGAAAAGCAGGAGAATCCTGATGAGACTGGGATGGTTGGACAGTCTGCTTTGATTATAGGTCATCATGCTGGACATGAGAGTTTTTCATTATGACTGCACAATGATTTTTTTCAAAGATATTTTTGATAAAGTCAAGAAGAACAGATAATTTTTTAAAACTTAATGACTCGTCCATTGGGAAACAGTTAATTTCATTTCCCAAGAATCACCGAGGGAAACATTGAGATAAAGAGAACACCAGTCTTTAAGTGATTTCTTAATTGTAGCTGGAAATTTTGAAGCTGCAAATTCATTAAACCTCTCTGTAACAGCACTCGTCAGTCAACATTTGCGCCGGGTAACAGTGCACTTTTACCCTCTACTGTCATAGATTTTGCAATGTCTCCCGTTCAGTGATTTTAGTGGGAAACAGTTTCATTGTAAGATGTCATGTGACGTCGAAGTAACCAATGAGAGTATGTGCTGCTGGGAAAAAATTTCCAGCTATATAACAATAGTTATTATATAGTACTGGCAAGAACAATGATGTAGGCATGTAAGGTTAAATTATTTAGGAAAAATATTACGTCTTTTTGGGGAGGAAACCATCACTTGTGCATTTTCTGTTGAATTTCCATTAAGTAAACCAATAAATGACATGTACCTTATTTAAGTAAGTATATTTTTATGCCTGCTTGATCAAATTTAATTATATTTATTATTTTACTAAAAATATTTGAACAAGCAAGCATAAAAATTCAGCTGTGTAAATAATAAAATATTTTACTTTATGAACAAATAATTTGATGGAATAAGATGTCTGGGGTATGTAATCAATGAGAATAGTCCTTAAGGCTTATTGTTCTTATTTCCCATAATTTAAGTTTTCTCGATATTAAACCCCCAAAAATTCCTGTTCCAAACAACTACGTTGGCTTTATTGCCGGATGTGAAGATTAGGGTAGAGGGTTTATTAAAATAACAGAGGAACCTATAAATAAAAGAAAATAATAATAATAAAATAATAATGATTTAGATGCCACGTAGCAAGTGACTCCTGATCAAATCTGAATTTGGGAATGTTGCTTAATTCTGAAAAGAGACAAGAAACATATGTTGAATGTTCAACCCAGGGGGAAGGGGGGTGTAACAGTGGAACCCTTTTCCAGACAAACAAAAATTATGTACACATTGGTTGCATTCGATTGGGAAATCCAGATTTAGATTTTGAAAATTATCTGGATTTCGGATTTTGCAATCGAATGTGAATCCAAAAATTGATTTCACCTCAGTTGATTTCAATTAAGAAATCCAAATCAAGATTTAATGGATTTCCTTTTTACTGTTCGATGGTGAAATCTGAAAAAAGGATTTGCAAAACTCTTCTAGTGAATAGTGGTCTTCCTTTTGCTTATTATGAGTGCACATGCAAGACTGCTGTATATATTAAGGACAGTTTTTCACATCCTTTTTTGGATTTCCTAAATGAATGGTAAAAAGGAAATCCAAAAACAGATATCTCAGCGATGAAATCCATTTTCGGATTTCATGTTCAATTGCAAATCCGAAATCCAGATTTTAAAATCTAAATCCACATTTCCCAATCTAATTGTCACACATTTGTTTTTCATTTGCCAATATCATGTTTTAACCTTTATAATACATTTGGGTAATCAATATCATCATTACAATAACTGTGGAGCAGAATTTGCATAATGTTGAAACTGCTCCAGATTCTAACAGAAGCATTAAATATACCACTCTTCCAGGGATAGAAGTGATTTTGTTACAGTTCTGGGACTCATCTTGTGAAAAATTATGAGTTCCAGTTAAAAAAAAGAGTCCAAAATTTAGAATGCTTAGACCTTTGTGTAACCAGATGGTTAATCTGAAGACAGACTCTAAAACTCTGTATTACAGTATACTGAAATTAAAATGTAGTCCTACATAGCACAACAAAGGTTAAAAGAAATATACATAGTTAAACAACAGCCATAATAACTGCCACAGAAATTACACAAACAGGATATTCCTACATTATACACATGTTCAGATCAATCAATCCTTGCGTCCTACGGGAAGCATGCTGAGTATTATTTTGTGTCTTTGAGGATCTTTATGCATCAGGGACGCAGGATGCAGAGGTAACGAAATCACTGGGATAGGGTGATTTTCATACCCATCACCCATCTGTTTCATATCCTGACAAAACGGCCAACATTTTGCGACGCCACCAGACTGGTTTGCCCATGAAATGATATCTAAGAAATGAGTGCAGAAATTCTATATTGATGACGCAACACTACACAGATATGGGTAGTGCTTCTGATTGGCTGAAAATTTGCTTCAAACAGTCAGAAGCACTTCCCAGATCTGGTTAGTTTTGCATCATTAGTATGGAATTTGTGCACTCGTTTCTCAGATGTTACCTCATGGGCAAACCAGTGGCGTTGTCGTGAAATGTTGGTTCTTTCAGAGTCAGAGGGGCCAAAGTATACCCCACTGGGTGACACATAGCCCCTACACGGTAATCCCTCTCCTCTCTCTCCACCCCACCCCCGCAATGCCTGGGACTTAAACCCAGATAACAATCTCTCAAAGCAAGGGCAAGAACCAACAACAAAACTCAACTCACCTATGGAGTAGCTTTCAGGAGTTGAAGCCAGGCTACATCAGTGAGAGATGTGATCTCATCACTACCCTTGCTCGCGCTCAGTTAAAGTTTTATACTGTTCAATATTTTGTTATAAAACCACAAAAAAATCTAAAACAAAGTTGCATGGATTTGAAAACACTTTAATTTATAGGTTTTGAAAAACTGAACTACATGCATTTAACCTTCCCCTCTTTGCAAAACTATACAAAAACCTTGATAACTGGCCTTTTAACAGAATATAAAAACAACGGAAAATTGCTATTACACTGTAGGTAGCAATTTGGGCGCAGGCTCCCCTTGTCGGCCAGTATAGGCAGTAACCCCCCCCCCCCCCCCCCCCTCCTCCCCCTCTTTACAAAACCAAAAAAAAACCTTTATAACTGGCCTTTTAAAAAAAAAAAAAAAAAACGGAAAATTTCTTTTACCCTTGAGGGAACATTTTGGGCCCCCGCCCCCCTTTGCGGCCCATAAAGGCCCAACCCCCCCCCCCCCCCCCCCAATGGGGACTCAACCGTGACAACCTGAGCATCCCTTTGCCATTTTCTTCAGGTATTGTGTTACACTACCCAGGTATTACATGTCCTTGTAAGTTATGTGACAAAGGAACATGCCTGAACTGAACTAACAAGTATTAAAATCAACCTTCCTATCACGAATATGACAGAATTTGAAAGCAATGACCGTAGTATGATGATACAATTACCTGCCTTCCTTTAAGGAGGTCAATTCCAACTGGAGTCTTTTTTGTTTCAAATTTTGTGACATACGTACCATCTAGCTTATAAACATGTACACAGTGATTTTCACTATCACACACCAAAATGCGATCATTTGTCTTATCAACAGTAATTCCCCTGGGACATCTAAATTCACTGGTGGCATTTCCTACTCTTCCAAACTGCCGCACATAAATTCCATTGTTATCAAATACTTTCACGCAGTTGTTTCCCTTGTCAGAAATGTAAAATTCACCTTTGTGGTGTACAGCTCCTAATGGTCTGTCAAACCCCTCCGGGCCATGCGCACCAAATTGACGTACAAATGTACCATCCAGCAGAAAGATTTGCACGCGGTTGTTTTCAGTATCAGTGACAATAATATTATCATTGTCATCGACCGAAATACCCTCTGCCTGTCCCAGTTCGCCCTCATTTGATCCTTTTTTGCCAAAACTCATGAGGAAGCGGCCAGTATTGTCAAAGATTTGTACTCTGTAATTCCTGCTGTCCAAGACAATGAGTTTGTTGTTCCTCGTGTATGCTATTCCTGTTGGACCCAAAAGTTGCCCTTCGTCATGTCCTTTTTTGCCAAATTTAAATAAAAACTTTCCATTCTCATTGAAAACTTCAACGCGATTGTTAAAGTAATCGGTGACAGCAATTTCTCCTTTCTCATTTGATGTTATGCCCCCAGGGTTCTTGAAATTACCTTTCCTTGTTCCCTTGTGTCCAATTTTCTTAATGACCCGCCCTATTGAGTTAATGTCAGCAGTATCTGTGGAGAATTCTAAATTGCTTGGATTTCTTTGCGTTATTTCCGTTTTGAGTTGACCAATACGATATTTTTCCAGGTTAAGTTGAAAATCATGGTTTGGATAAAACTCCAGCTTTTCATCACATTTACTTCTCATCTCATTGATATCTTCAAAATTCATCAGTTTAATCTCTTTGAGTTGTTGCGTCAGTACTTCCTCCATATCTTTTAGCTCTTGTGGGTCTGATTTTTCAAGGACTTCGTCTGCTGCCTGAATGCACGATGATGCATTTGCCGTCAGAGTAGACAAGGTTTGTCTCTGATTCTGAAGGGACTTCTGTTTCTTGCTGTAAAACTCTTCCAATTCCTGCAAATATTTGCTTTCCTGGCTTCTTATTATTTCTATCAGGGTATTGCTTGTGAAGCGCACCTCTTCCAGTGCCTTTTTCCAATTATCATCTAAACTTTCCAAAGCACTATCTAGAATGGTGAGCCTTTTACGCATTTCTTCCACCACGGGTTTGCTGTGATCCAGTGATTTCTGAATCTTGAGACGCTCTCTTCGACCAGGTGTAACCTCTATAAATTTAATGAGCACATTGTTCGTCGGCAGAGAACTTATCCCTCCGGGAGGGATATGGGAAATCTGTCGACAAGTCGGACAACGGATTATTTCACTATTTTTACGAGCCATATTGTCTAAACAAGCCTTGCAGACGTTGTGAGCACAAACTGGAAGACATTTAGGTTCTGTCAGTTCCTCCAGACAGATCGGACACGAAAGTTCTTCGGTGAAAACTCGAGTAAGACTAGCGTCCACATTGGAGGATGAACGAGAGGCAGTGGCCATCTTTAAAAGGATCGTTTCCTTCTTTCCTGGGCTTCGATCTGAAGCAGTCAGTTTGAATAACTTGATTGAGTAAAAAACAATGATTGATACCGTTTAACAAAAAAAATTCACGCACGTACTGCGGAAACAGAAGACCACGACCTAAAAACAACAACTTCCTCCCGCAAATTTGGCTCGAGGGGAATGAGTACTAGAGCGAAGAACGCCTGCTAGAAAACGTACTTGGGCAGCCTGGCAAGTACATACCAACATGGAGGCTCTTTTTCTTCTGTTTTCTTTTTTTCTCTAGACAGCTTGGCTGGAGAAAAACTTAGGCCTACTGAGGCATCTACGATGCATCACGATACTAAGTGTAGAAAGCGGTAAGTAACTCAGAAATGTGATTATACTCACCTGACGAGTTGTAAAATATGACAGGTCAAATTATGTTCCACATCACCAGTACTGGAGAACCAGTACTGCAGTACTGAAGTCGCGAGGGGGGAGGGGGGTGGGGTACTCCGTTATATGGACTATGCGGGGATTTGCTGCTGGACAGGGTATGGTTTTCGTCCTTTCTGTCCTAAACAAGGTATATAATTTGACGCGAGTCGGTCCTATTCATTGCAAGTCTTGTCTTTTAAGTGTACGTGTCCTTTGTCCTAAACAGGGTAATAAAATCCAACTGTTTTGCCTAACCAGGGTGTCTTGTCCTAAACAGGGTGAGAGTTTCAAACCCTCAGCGGCGCACCTATGCCAGAATATTAATCGAGTACCCCCCCCCCCCCCCCCCCCCCCGGGTGAGGGGATCAAACAACCAAAAGTGTTTTTTTTTTATCTAAGTGGGCCTTTTTTTATAAAAAAATGGGGGGAAAAAAAAGAAGGAGGATTTTTTTGTGGTGCTTGTTTAATTGGATAGAGAAGACAAAAACAATTATAAAAAAATATTTTGTTTTTTTTTTTTCTAAAACATATTAGTTTGTCTTCTTCCACAACAAGATAAAAAAAGTCCACCGTTCTGACCACCCCGGGGGTGCTTTCCGAAAAAGGGGGAGAGTTTCAACACCCCCCGCCCCCCCCCACCCCCAAAAATTAAACCCGCCCCCCCCCCCCCCCCCCCTCACCCTGGGAACTGGAGTACACAAGTCATAGTAGTGTTTAATCTCAATCTGAGGGCACTTATGATTAATAAGAGCTGTGAGAAAATAGAGTGATGATTATGTTTGGCACTGATCTGTATAGCGACTAGGACCAAGCAACTATTATTAAAAATATTGTAAGCTTTTATTGCATCTCAAAACTTAAAATCTAAATATAACTTCAGGTACAAAAGCTTAATTTTTCTTGCAATTGTTTGCTTGCCTAATTGCTCATAAAAAGTGCTCTGAAATTCTAATCCTTATTAGTATCAAAAAATTAAGCAATAGTCTCATACATGCCAGTGTGGTGTATAACAATAATGGTTCTCTGTAATCTTGTGACCGTCATACAATTATGCATAATTATATATTTTCTTATTTTTGGAATAAGACGGTTCTTGTGCATTGCAATCCTGCTTTCCGGCCCAGACCTCTCCGTTATTAGTGTCTGGATTCATAACAATGAGATTATAAATATTCACTTACTTATTGTCGATGGAAATTCTGTCGAAATACTGTAAAATTAAGAATGGAAGCCAATTTAGTAAGAAATGAAGTGAGTAAATATAAATGCAATTATAGACTGATCTATAGTTATGAGGGTTAAGCACTGATTTAGAATGGTTAGCTTTTACTCATTGTTTTATAAATTCCAAACAATTCAGGTGCAGATCCACACCAGTTTCCAATGGTTTTACATAAATAGGTCTGATTTTTCAAACCGGTAATATATTCTTAATAAAAAAAATACATAAATAGAAATTAACTTTCCAAGTTGAGATCTGGAAAAGGATTGGAGATTCAGTAAAATTAATATCCTGTCTGAATGATTCAGAAATCCAGGAAAGGGGACTCTGGGGAGTCAAAATCCAAAAAATTTCCCAGGGGTGTATGCCCCAGCTGGACCCCCCTAGAAGCTTGCACTTTTGGCACTCATTTAGGAAAACTGGTCAGTATTTATCCCTTTAAGCCCAAAGACCCACATGCAAATTCTCCAGACTGATCTCAATACATTTCTTTTAAGAAAAGTTGAGAGAATATGGTATTAGATCAAAGCATTCCCCATTTGGTAATCAGTTTAATAATTCTCATAACCAATACTCTTGATAATCAGTGCAAATGTTGTTTCGGAGAAAATTGATGTTGGTCACTCTTGGGACCTAAAGGGTTCAGAGATTCTAGATCCAGACCTGCAAAATTAATACTGTAAAATTATGGCGCGACAAGATTTCTTGAGTGTAGTGGTATTGAGAGATAAATGTAGAGAACCAGGGTCAATGCTCTGTAGTTCTCTTTTCCTTTGGTCTACCTTCCTTTTTTCCTTTACGACTTAGGCACGTTTCAAACGTCGTGCTACTGCCGTGCCAAACTCAATTGATCGAATTAAATTCAACTTTAGCACAGCAGTAGCGCGACGTTTGAAACCAAGTCGTGCTACTGCCGTGTAGCATGGCAAGCCTTGCCGTACTACACGGAAGTAGCTCGACTTGGTTTCAAATGCTGTGCTACCGCCGTGCCGAACTTAATTCATAAATTATAAATGCATTAGAATACATATAAATTTTGGTAAACTATTTCTTTATTTTTGCGTTTTGTTTTCGGCAACGGCTGTTCTATTCAACTGAATTAAATTCGACGTCGGAAACCAAGTCGTGCTAGTGTCGTACTGCAGTCGAGCTACAGTCGAGCCAGCTTAGCAGGGCAGTAGCACGATGTTTGAAACAGGCCTTTAATACAAATGCAACAAAGGGTTTTAGGTTTATGAGGTGGCCAACCCCTGATGAGGCCTTGATAGGGTAAACTTATAACAATGGACATGACCTTGAAACAGGTTATAGGACAGCAGAAATGGTAGACCGCGAGCAGTTGTCCTTCTTTCCTCAGATCCACGCGCGGCGAGCAAAAAGTTAAAATTATCATGAAAATGAATTATAACAAAAAGGAGGAGAGATTGGAGCTGGGAGAGGAAAAACGACAAACGACACAAAGATGGGTTGAAACTGTGACGGCAACAGAGAAAAGCACTAATACAATAGTAAAACACCGACAGAAACATAGCTTCCTCATCATACGGGAAACAACAGGTTTTGAAATTGATGATGATGATGATAAACTTTATTTCAGTGTCAGGTCTTCTAGCTGGCCATGTAAGGCTTACTAATAGGGGACACTAAATTAAAACACTATCAGCTCTAGCTAACTAATATAAAAAAGTATTTACAAAGAATAAAATTTACAAAAATATACACCCTAAAAAAAACGTCGATAAAATGTATTTGGATTTATCGTATAAAGTAATACTTATTGATTAAGAGATGTCTTTTTGTCTAGAAAATGTCATTTATGTACAATATAGAAAGCAGTTTTTACAGCCCTCTGTGATTACTTGTTCAATATCTACCTTACGAATTTCCTTTTTAAAGCTGTAAATTGATTCTGCGTTTTTTACATCCTTGCTAAGCTCAGACTAGAGACGTATGTAAACCCGTTAAGAAGGCCTCCATGTTGAATGCCTTCGATATAGCCTCACCAATTTCTGGTTCATGTTTATGGCCTTTCTGATAGAACATGGGTAAAGAAATTACAAAAAGAAAAAATACAACTATAATCGTCCAAAAATAAGATGTGCTGGGACTCCTTCTCAGAAGACACTCCCTGTTTGTCGATTCTCACAAGTGACCACATCTCGTAAGCAACCACCAAGTCTTTGGATTTTGGGTGGTCGTTTATGGGAGGTTTGACCACATGTATTCATGAATTTGTGCTTTTCTATTGATTTGTGTTTATTTCCGTTTTGTTATTTCCAGTAGTTTCTTTATTTCCTTGCCCAAAGTTTTGTTTTGTTTTGCTTTTTTTGATACTAAAGTTATTGAAACCGGAAGCCAGCAAGTGAAGCATATTTAATGTGGCTGATGAACACAGTTTTGGCAGTTTGTGAGTATAATATGTCATTTGCCAAATCATGGCAAGAGAAGGGTTGCAGCTCACAAGCTGAAACTTGGCAAGTGAAAAATATACTGATGAAAGGTTTTGATTGACCGGTAAAATTTGACATTTTCGTAGTTTCCATGGCAACATGAACGATTGAATACAACTTTAAAATTTCACTTTTGCTCAGTTTACAGAACTCTCTCATTAGATTTTCCAATAAACTTGCACATAGCTAACTATAATTAATCATTACCATTTGAAACTTACTTGACCAAATTTTAACAGAGGGGTTTTTAGATAATCAATAATATATTTGTACTGTAATTATTAAATGTGTCACAAAAATCGTCTGTTCAACTTCCATTTTAAAGTTCTCATTATCTAAAATACGTTAAAAGTAAAAATTCCTCCAAATATCACAAAATTTTAATGAGTAGATTTTGAGAAATCTTCTTCTTTTTACCATTGCTTTTTCGCCGCTATGTTGTTTGTCTAAGTTAAAACAATCGCCGTCACGCGAATTACCGCTGACCGCCCGCGAAACTGTGTTCAGCCACCTTAAAGCACTGCTCTAACTTAGACCAAACACAGCTGTCTAAATTTTTTGTGAAAAGTGCTCGGCCCCTGTCTTTTAGATCCCCTTTTTGTGTATTTCGCTGATTGTAGCGTCATTTAAACGTTTACCATGAACAATGGCATCCGTTCACTTTTGAGTAAATAAAAAAATCTCTTACGTCAACTACAACTATATTTGATCGACGGCAGCTTAGAAAACACAAACTTCTCCAGCAAAAAAAAAAATATATACGGTGTTTGTTTATAACATTTAAAGCCCGTTTTATAATAGACAGGGCATTTGCATTAACTGCGATTTTAGGATTTCTACGATTTATGAGTGTCCAACCTTCTAATTGTCTAAATTTACAGCGCAATAAGTTGCTGGTCATTAAT